CTGGTGAGCCCCCTCCTTCTGCAGGAAATGTGTTTTTTGTGGAGACCTCAGAGCAAACTTCCCCAAGTTACCTGTTCTCATGTTCTGTGGAGTCAGCAGCCAGGACACATCCTGAATCAAGAGTCGTGGTGCTCATGAAAGGCTTGGCCAAAGAGAACGCTTCCCTACCCAAGCACTGGGCTTTCTCCTTGATGAGATGCTTCCCCAACGTGGAAATCCAACCCCTGAACTTGACAGAGCTCTTTTCTGGAACACCTCTGGCACAGTGGTACATGCAGCCTCAGCGGCAGCAGGAGCCACATTTTTTAGCAGTCCTGTCTGACGCCTGTAGGATTGTCCTTATGTGGAAATTTGGTGGCATCTACCTGGATACAGACTTCATTGTGCTTAAGAACTTACAGAACCTCACCAATGCCCTTGGGATTCAGGATTATGATGTACTGAATGGGGCCTTTCTGTCCTTTAAGCCCAAGCACAAGTTCATGGAGCTTTGCATGCAGGACTTTGTGGATGACTATAATGGCTGGGTCTGGGGACACCAGGGCCCAGAGCTCCTAACTCGTGTCTTCAAGAAGTTGTGCAACATCCAGACTATCAAGAGCATGAGCTGCCAAGGTGTGAGTGCTCTTGCCCCAGAAGTTGTTTATCCTATTCCCTGGCAGGACTGGAAGAAGTTTTTTGAGGCAGTCAGTGCATCAGAGTTTCACCAGCTCCTGAAGAACACCTATGCAGTGCACATATGGAACAAGCTGAGCCATGGGACCAAGTTAGTGATCCACTCCCAGGCTCTGCTGGCTCAGCTCTATTCCCAGTTCTGCCCTGCCACCTATGCAAAGATGAAAGAGGACTCTGAAGAGTTGTCAAAGCAGTGACCTGTACAGTGTGACCTGTAGGGTCTTGGCAGCGGGGATGTTCCCCAGACTGAAGGAAATAGAGTGCCTTTCACCTTCCCTAGAGCTGGGTTCTAGTCCCAAGAGCAGTTGTTCTGTTTGACAGCTCTGTGGTTTTGTGACCAATATCCCTGGTATCTGCCTCAGATCCTTTGTGTTTCACATTTACAGCAGAACCTGAGTTCAGCCTCCCTTGCTGTCCTTCAGGGCCAGGGAATAGTTGAACTTGTTCATCAGCATCTCTCAGCTGATGAACTCTCTTGGTGTTTTCCAATGTCTCCTTCTGTGAATCCCTGGTTGAGCAGCTTCTTTTCACGTTTCAAGAGCTGTTGGGACCCCTGTCCTGGTCTCTGTGGCATTTGAAATTTTTACAGAATATTACGTGTTGGAAAGGATCCCAGCCATCATGTGTCCAACCACTGGCCCTGCCAGGGAGCAGGACACTCCAACAATTGTGCCCTGTGCATGAGAGCCTCGTCCTTGGCGCTGCGACCCTTCCCTGGTGTCTGTTCAGTGCCCCACCACCCTCTGGGGGAAGAACCTTGCCCTGATCTCCACCCTAACCCTCCCATGACACAGCTCCAGCCATTCCCTGGGTCCTGTCCCTGGTCACACAGAGCAGAGATCAGAGCCTCTCCCTGATCCTCCCCTTGTGAGGAAGCTGCAGAACTGCTGTGAGCTGTGACCTCAGTCTGCACTTCTCCAGATGATCAGACCAAGTGCCCTCAGCTGCTCCTTGTGTGGCCTCACCTGCAGGCCCTTCACCATCTCCATGTCCCTCCTTTAGACACTTTCTAACAGCTTTAGATCTTCTTATGTTGTGGCACCCAAAACCACGTACAATATTCGAGGTGAGGCTGCCCCAGCACAGAGCAGAGCGGGACATTCCCTCCCTGTCCTGGCCGGCCATGCTGGGCCTGGTGTCCCCGGGACAGGGATGGCCCTCTTGGCTCCAGGGCACTGCTGGCTCATGTCCAGCTGGCACAGCCTGCAACCCCCAGGTCCCTTTCCACAACTCTGCTCTCCAGCCTCTCGTTCCCCAGTCTATCTGTACATCCAGGGATGCCCCATTCCAGGTGCAGAATCCAGCCCTTGTCTTTGTTAAACTTTGCACAGTTGGTGATTGCCCAGGCCTGTCCTTTATTCCAGGCTCTCTGTAGGGGCTCTTCGCCCTTGAGGGAGTCAACAGCTCCTCTCAGTTTTGTATCATCTGCAAGCTTACTTAGTATCCCTTCCTGTCTTGCATTCAAGCTTTTTATGAGGATTTTTAAGAGAATGGGGCCTAAGATGGCACCCTGTGGAACCCCACAAGTGACAGACTGCCAGTCTCCTGTTACCCCAGTTGCTGTTACTCTTTATGCTAGACCAGTGAGCAAGTTGCTCACCCATTACATGTGTTTATCCAGCTGTGGGCTGCACACTGAGATAGACGATATCCAAAGCTTTACTGAAATCCAAAAGGATTTCATTTACTCATGTTTTTTGATCAACTGGGTGGATTACCTTAGCATAAAAGGAAATTAGTTTTGGTAAGCAGGGCTTTCCTCTCATGAAGATATGCTGGCTGTGACCAGTGACTGTGTTGTCCTTCAGGTATTTTTCAATACCTTCCAGAATAATCATCATCATCTCCATAATTTTACTAGACCCTGGAGTGAGACTGACAGGCCTGCAGATTCCAGGGTCATCCTTCTTGCCCTCTTTGAAAACTGGAACCTCTTCAGATTCCCAAGATTGTTCAGAAACTATCAAGAGATGCCTCGTGATGATATCAGCCAGCTCTTTATGTATCCTCAGATTAGTCCCATCATATCCCATAGATTTATAGGGATCCAGCTGGAGCAGCAGATCCCTCACACCTTCAGGGCTAACTCAGAGTTTATCATTCTCATAGTCACAGTCCTCTAGCTCAGAGTGCTGAGACCTCCTTAGTCCATCATCAGTGTTGAAGACGGAGGCAAAGAAAGCATTAAACATCTCTGCCTTGTCCATGGCCCTGTTTGTGAGGTGACCATCCTCATCTTGTAATGGACTAATTTCAGCACTGCCTTTTGCCATTAATGCATTTTTAAAACCCTCTTTTTATTGTTCCCCACGTTTCTGATGGTTTCAATTGCAATGGAGCATTGGCCACACAAATTCATCCCCTACAGTGGTGAGTAGCATCTCTATTCCTTCCACATCACCTGACCTTGATTCCACTGGGCATACACCTTCTCTTTTTACCTTATCTCCAAAAGAAGGTTCCTGTTCAGCCAAGGTGGCCTTCTGCCTCGTCTGCTTGGTTTCTGATTTTTAGGAATTGCCTGTTCCTGTGCCCTAAGGAGCTGGTGCTTAAAAAGTGACCAGCACTGATGGACCCCAGGACTTTCAAAACCATTTTTCCAGGGGACTTTATTTACTGATTCCCTGAGTAGCTTCAAGTCTGTTCTTCCTATGTCCAGGGCTGAAGTTTTGTTGGCACTTTTCCTCCTGTCACCAAAGATTTTAAACTTGATGGCTTCATGGTCGCTGTGGCCAAGACAGCCACCAATCTCCACTCAAGAGGATCACAAGATCCTCTCTGTTGACAAGCAACAAATCAAGGAGGGCATCTTTCCAAGTCAGCCCTCTTAGTACCTGTACCATGAAGTTATCATCCAGGTGTTTCAGGAATATATAGGGAGTATGTGAAAATTGTGTTAAGAAACAGAAAATATTTTAAGGCCTGCTGTGGATCTGACGACCATCTCCCTACCTAAATGTGTTCCCTGTGTGTCCGGGTCATTGTATTGTAATATTGCATTTGAAATTACCCTCTTAGGAAATGACAAGAAGGGACTAAATACCCTGGAGTTCTGCCTGTGCCAAATCAAAGCTTCTGTCTGGAAGGTAAAGTGTAAGCAATGTGTGGTTATTGCTCTTTTAGATATGCAGTGACTAAAAAATAAGAGAAATATGTATATCAATTTTAATACAATCTTTTCCTAAATGCCATTATTTGCTGAAAAGTACAGTGGTACCATGCACAAAGGAAGACTGATGTAATTTAGGTGTCAATTTAATGTGAGCAGGAGTATGTTTCATGGTTTCTCAGTGTCACAGCACACTACTGATTAAATAATCCATTGCAGACCAAAAGAGACGGAGTCATCAATTTTTACTTGAAATGAGTTGTATAAAACAACATATTAACTTTGTTGTCTGATCCTGTCCACTCTCCATCCATTCCTCCTCTCTTCACCACTCCTCCTTTCCCCCAAGTTAAAAAGAAAAGTTTCCTGCTCACTCCACTAGTCTTCAGTAGTGGTGCTGAGCAGTACTGGGTATGCTGTTCCAATGTGCTGCCCATGGCGCCAGACAACCACCTGCAGCTCATACTCATCTATCTTCACTGTTTCACGTGTGACTCTTTCTTCAGACAGCAGGAAAATGACTGTGTAAAGGGCAAATTCGAACTCTGGGCTGACACCAATAAAGCTGCTTCCGATTGGCTTGACCGAACCCTTCCAGCTGAACTGGATGCTCAAAACTTGGTCATCTTTGTCAGGCTGAAAGCATAAATGAAACAACAGAATAATCTCCAACACAGCTGTGACTGGACAGATAGAATTTCTGATTCCAGATTTTTGAGAGCTCTGTAAGGTTGAGTTCATCCTTGGTGTGCCTGGGAGCTATAGCTGGAGCACAATCTTTTCCCTGACTACTGGAGTATACATGACCATTTATCCCAACTAAGCCTCAACAGTCTTGCAATTCTGCAAACACCAGCACTACTTTTTAAAATAGTTTTTGCAAAAAAAATGAAGCTGGAAGACATGTTATTATTCATTCTTCTTATATAGAGTTATGTACTGTATATACTTATTACTGTTCAAAACATGAGCCTATGATTGCATCGTTACACTTGTTTTGTTATAACTTTTATCTCTGGATCCATTTGTCTTACTTGCAAAGTCCCCCAAAGGCTTCTTCTTACCCTGGTTTTGTTCTTCCGAGCCACGTATCCCTTGTAATCAATCTGGTCACGCTTTTCCTGAAGGTAAAATTGCACCCAGTTGTGCAAACCTAAGATCTCTTTACCATGCCTTGTTTCTCCAACAAAAACATGTTCAAAACCACAAGAATCAGGTCTGTAATGAAGAAGGAAAAAAGAAAAAAGAATATACAGGTCTTTTATATGTTTCACAGAGCCATAGAATTGTTTGGGTTGGAAGGGATGCTAAAGCTCATCTCATTCCGACCCCCTGCCATGGGCAGGGACACCTTCCACTATCCCAGGTTGCTCAGAGCCCCATCCAGTCTGGCCTTGGACGCTTCAGGGGATGGGGCAGCCACAGCTTCTCTGGGAAACCTGTGCCAGGGCCTCTCCATCCTAGCAGAGAGGAATTTCTTCCTAATATCCAATCTAAACCCATTCTGCCAGTCTGAAGCCATTCTGAAGCTGTCTTCCAGTTCTATGTGTAGCAGATGGCTCTCGGGTTTACCTGATTTACCTTAATCAGAAAAGAACAGAGATTATCAGTGCCCATACCCACCCATCAAACATACCTGTCTCCTTCTTTCCTGGCATAGAGCTGGAACCAGATGTCATAAAGCTGATGTTTGAAATCAGCAAGGTTTGGCTTTGCTAGTTTTTTTTTCAGCAGATAGTCATGAGCTAGCTGAAGGATAGAAAACCAAGATACATATACAGATTACTTCTTTATTCAATGTTTCCAGTGACAAAAAAGATCTATGTTACTCACTCTCATGACTTCTGTTGCTAAGATAGCATCAAGGAAACAATTGTTTTCAACTATTTCTTCTGGAGTCACTACTTCTGCTACACCAGTTGATGCCTCATAGTTGTCCAATAAGGAAATAAAGGCTGCAGAAAAAAAGAAACTTTCAGTCTGCTCATATACCTAATCCAGGCATTAGAGTGCCATCATAAAAAGTCACCATAGAATATGCCTTGATAGCCCTTAGAGAAAGCCATTCCTTTATATGTCAGATTCTACTCTCAGGTATACTGTTAAGTGTAGGCCTCAAGGTAATTCAAGGCCAGAACACTGCTGCTCTTTTTAAAGATCTTTTCAAAGATAAACAGCTATTGAGCTTCCTTATAGAGCCAAGTGCTGAAGTAATAATGACCTTCTAGCAAAACAAATGATATCTGACCACCACAATTACAGACACAGGCTTAGAACCTTGAGCTGTGCTGGCATGAGGTTTTGTGGGCATTATTTCAGTAGATATCAGATGTCTTGAGCTTGAGAAAAATTAGGGAAGGAAACATATATTCATAGACATAGCTGAAGTATAGCCCCCAAGAGAAATGCAAGACCTAGCTGTCTAGTGGGTCTAGTACTATCTGAAAGGGCTTGGAAGCTGTGAGTAAAGGAGTAAAGATGAATTTGGTGTCTTTTTGCATAGAATCATAGGATGGTCTGGGTTGCAAGAGACCTTAAACCAGTTCAAGCTCCCTGCCATGGGCAGGGACACCTTCCACTATCCCAGGTTGCTCAGAGCTCCATGTAACCTAGCCTTGGACATTTCCAGGGATGAGGCAGCCACAGCTTCTCTGGACATCTGTTCACCACCATGTCTCAGTGTCTTGGCTTGCAAAGCAGGATATAACCAAAAGTATGCATTCTGTCACCATCTGTTAAAACCAGCTGGGGCAGTGCTCTTCATGTTTTCCACACCCCATCCTTCCTCCAAGGAGATATCTCCTGTTAATGGGCCATTGAATCCCACTGCATGACTGATAAAATTAAATCATCCCATTGGGAGATGCTCCAGCTAGGGGGAGGAGCCAAGCATTTCCTACCTAGATAAAATCTGAGATTTGGAACACCAAGGCAGCCTTTTTCCACTGGATTCCAGAGGAAAACCAGACCCTTCTACACTTGACCTTTGGAGGAAAACTGAACCTTCTACAGGAGCACTGCTTCAAGAGAACCACATCTGTCATCAAGGAGGACTGCAGTCACCATTTAATGGGACTACTACCAACACCCTGACTGACAGGGTGTCAGGTTGTATTCTGACTCTGACAATGTTCTGGGTTTGTTTTTTTGAAATACTGTATTTCTATTTTATTTTTCCTAGTAAAAAACTATTATTCCTATTCCCATATCTTTACCTGAGAGCTCCTTAATTTCAAAATTATAATAATTTGGAAGGAGGAGGTTTACATTGTCCATTTCAACAAAGGCTCCTGCCATTCTTAACAAACACCTGTCTTTCAAACCAAGATACTCAGCTGCTCTCACAGGAAAAAAATTATTTTCTAAATTCTAATTTTAACCTCCACTCCATCAGTGTGAAGCCATTCCCCCCTGTCCTGTCATTCCAGGCCCTTGTCAAGAGTCTCTCTCCATCTTTCCTGTGGGCTCCCTTCAGGCACTGGAAGGCCACAGTGAGGTCATCCCAAAGCCTTCTCCTCTCCAGGCTGAACAATCCCAATTCCCTGAGCCTTTCCTCCCAGCAGAGCTGCTCCATCCCTCTGATCCCTTGGTGTCCCTGCTCTGTCGTGGCTCCAGCAGCTCCCTGTCCTTGCTGTGCTGGCCCAGGGCTGGGTGCAGCCCTGCAGGGGGGTCTCAGCAGAGCGGGGCAGAGGGGCAGAATCCCCCCTCCCCTGCTGCCCTGGGGCTCTGGGTGCAGCCCAGCACAGGGGGGTTCTGGGCTGGGGCAGGGCCAGCTCTCACCCACAGCACCCCCAAGCCCTTCTGCCAGGGCTGCTCCCTCTGCTCATCCCCAGCCTGGATTGATCCCAGGAGTTGTCCTCACTCAGGTGCAGCACCAGCACCTGGTCATGTCAAAGTCTGTGAGATTCCCTTGGGCCACTTCGCAAGTTTGTGGTAAGTGTCTCATCCCTTTTACTTCATAGTGGAAGAGTCAGAGAATTCAGATTTTGCCTAAGGCACAAAAGGACGTTCCTCCTGAGGCTCAGGTACAGGTAATCTCCAAGCAACTGCTATGAAAACTCCCTTCAAATGACCTGCAGCTGGATGATCCTCACCACCATCCAAATTATATACAATGTTATATATTAGGCAATCACGTCAAAAACAGCACAGATATTTTATATCACATCCACGATCAAGAAAAGAACAGGTCTCACTTGCAAAAGTTTTTATGCTCCTCAGGCGTTCTTCATTTACATTGTGAAACAGATGTCTGGCTGCATTGTCCTGGACAGCACTGTCACCTTGCTGTGCTAGACCTGCTTTTCCCTAGGAAGAACATCAGAGGAAAACAATGTAAGGAGTAAGATGTCCAACATTAGAGGAGACAGTGCCTGCCTTTGTAATAATCAAACCAAACCCCATAAATCTATCAGGATTCTTTGCTAGGAATTGTCTTTCTATGAAACAAGAGAAGATATTACAGAACTTCCAGCATAAAGACAATCTCTGACAACTGTAAGAGCCTGAAATTTCCTTGTTGACTCAGAGATGATTGTAATGGCCCATGTGATAGTTCAGTTCTGTTCAGTAACCAGCTATGCTGTTATACTATATACATCACAAATGGTAAACAGAAGTAATGTAGAGCAAGGGCTCCCTCCCACCATAAAGAAATAAAAAGGAGATTTGGATGCCTTCTGTCTCTGCACTTTTAAGGAGGCTTTCCTGAGAATTTTCAAATTTCTATTTCATAAAGGGCATTCTCAAGGAAAGAAGATAGAAGATGAGTAGCAGCTTGTTAACATAGGCAAGGGGTACCTAGAGCCTTGTTCTGACAAATGGAGAAACCATATGGGAGAAGTTTTCCCCATACACATTTTTGCTTGAGGTAGGTACCACTATTTTGAGTTTATCAGCAACAGGAAATTATCCGTTATAATATTAAGCAACACTGGAATAGTGTTTGAGTAACAACAGAATAAAGTGAGTTCTTGTGTGGGTACAAAACCGGATTGTGAATATTCTGGCCTGTTGCAATTTGTGGCCAAAACACTTGGCCACTGCTCTCCCAGAGACACCCAGGAATTTCTCAAATTTCTCCCTTATTCCCCTAAGAATGACTTGGGACCTATCTCCCTTTCTCTCTTGCTGCAAGTCACTCAGACTACACACACAAGCTGCCATTCACACGCTGAAATATACAGGGTGGAGCAGAACATCTCTAGTGCTGCTCAAAGGGTGGTAAATACTGAATTCAGATTCTGTTTCTCAGGATATCATCTTGTTGGATCTTGAAAATCTGCAGAGATGGAGATTTCACAGTTTCTCTGGGCATCCTGTTCCTTTGTCTTTGTTGAATTTCATGATGTTCCTTCCTTAGCATGTTCCTCCAGCCTGCCTATGTCCAGTGGAAGAGAAGCCCTGCACCTGAGGGTACCAGGTGCAGTTTGCTGTCATCTGCAAAACTGGAAGGGTTGTATGCTAGTTCCTCCTCCAGCTCACAGACAGAGAGATGAAATATTACAGGACTCATGACAGACACCAGAGAGACTCCACTTGTAACCAAAGTCCAGGTAAGTGTGAACCATTTGTGTTCACTGTATCGTTCCTTCTCCTTAAGGGATGCTTTCCTCACTGGACATGACAAAGTACAGGCAGCTTTTTAAGCTAAAGGCACTTTTGCAGGCACCTTTTCCTGCAGCACCACACTGCCCTTAATCCTGACTTGGCAATTGCTTACCTGCACATCAATGGTGTAGTCTTTCCCAGGCCTAAGGCGGTGAACATCTGCATCCCACATCTCATTGAAAAGCTTAGAAAGTTCACGATTTAAGGCCTTCCTGCCAAGGAACACAGAGAAATACATGTGTTTAAAAAAGGCAGGTGCTGTTATTTCTTCAAGTCACTTCTAGAGTCTTCTAATGCCACTCCATGTTCTGGATATCAGCATGTCATCAAGTTTCTCTTTTTTCCCACACCTTCCTGTCAGTGCTGCTGTAAAAACCACAATGCTTATGGTCCACATTCCTTTTTAAAGAATGCAGGTAACCTGTAAGGAAACCTGAGCCTTCCCTTAGATTGTCAGACAGCAAAGTTCTTGTCTTCCTGTGGTTTTCCATGTAATGAAACAAAAAGGAAGATGGTGGTGTTTCATTCCTAAGGATTCTATGCACTTGGTGTGTTTTCTCCTGGTCCTTATCACAACTCATGAACCCTTTGTTAATTTTTTTTCTCGCTTCTGCCCAGCTGTGGCACTGGAGGGTGAGAGAAGGACTCTCCTGGATGCCTGGTGTTTGGCCAGTATCAAACCATGACAGGTTGTTATTGTGATGAAGTGCCCAGAGGTAGCCGCAGTTTCAAGTACATTATGGCCACACTAAGAGGGGATCAGGACAACAGAGTAGAGAAGAAGAGAAGTGGATTAATCTTTAAATAACTAACAATGGAATCAATCAGTTACAAACCAGCACGTGCATCAAACCCAGAGAAGAACCACTTGATAATTTTGAATTCTCCTCCAAAAGAGATGTTTTCCAGAAAAGAAGAAAAGTACAGAAATCTGTCAACTTGCTACATCCTCCTGCCAGTGGCAAATTCCATGCTCTCTAACAGAAAGAGCAAACAAAGAATGTGGCAAAGGCACAAGGGCAGGGCAGATAACCATAACTACAGCAGCTGCCACACCTCAGCCCACCTGTAAGTTTGGATCTGAGCCACTGTGTTCCTGAGCAGCGCTGGAGGCACTGAGACTCCATTTTCCCAGAACCAGGGTTTTCTGGTATTTTGGGATAGCTATGGATGGGAAATCTAAAAGATCACTTGAATTTTTAAATGGGCTTTAACAGGTGTAAATGCCTGAAAAAAGGAAAAGGATTAAATATTCTAGCATATAGGAGCCAAAGGACATGTTTGTTGCCAGGGTTAAACAGGAATGTGAAGGAAAAATTGTGCTTGGAGCAGGTACCTGCATGGACCTCACAGTGGAGAAGAAGGAGGCTGTCACAGAAGAGCTTCATTTAGCCCCTGCCCAGACTCCAGGCTCTGCTTGTACAGTAAGTGGGGCTTGTGCCATCACATTGTCAACACTGGCTGGACAGCCTAAAAGAGGACCCTGTTCAATGTCCCAGGGAGCTGCCTCAGAAGACACCAACAGCAGCAGTTTTATTTATTTCCAGCCATACTTCCATATTCTTTCTGGAGTCTTATGAGGAGCAAGCCCTTCTCAAAAGACCTTACAAACCAACACCAAACAAAAAACTGCTCACTTCATCAGCTCAGCTATATGCCCAAGGGCAGGACTGGTGAGTTCACAGAACAGTACTGGAGATGTTTTTCAAACTTCAAGCCTTTACCTTGGACGGCCCTAATTTTATTGGATCACTTTTGTGCTGTGTTCTGGACTCTCCTGCTGCCTGCTCCTCTGCATCAGTTCATCCTGTCTGTTTCAGAACCATCATATTATGTTTAATAGAGTTTTTACTTTGAAAGGAACTACTGCTGGTGAATAGGAGTCTGCTGCCTGCTGAACATCCAAGGTATGTGGAACATTGGGTCTTACTATAATGTTTTGTTGCACAGATACAGTATTTTATATACATATCTTTTAGTATGTGTGTATTTTGGTAACAGTCACCTATCTAGGAGAGATCTGTCATCTCTTTAATACCCACTTGCTCTCAGTCTGCACTGGGCACTCTGTGTTTATAATGCATTTTAGGGCCCTGTTTGGCCTTTCCTCCTTCAGAAATATTATGAAATATCACATGAGCTCAAGGTGTTTACTCAAGGAGAGGGTTACAGCAAGAGTTTACCTACAGATTTCAAGCCTCATTTTTGTTCAATAAATATACTTCTACTAAATGTATTCCTGCATTCAGGAAACTTGTCCCAAAACTGAAATCACTAAATTTTACAAAGTAAAAGCCTTTATTCTCCTTTATCTCTGCTAGGTGCTACCACAATATCATCATGGACTTTTCCTCTCCTTTTTGTTGTCCCTTTAGTTTCCAAACAGAGAGCCTGTTTATGCTGTAACTGAAGACTAAAAAAATATACTCTTGACAAAGGAAAAAACTTGTCTTGCAACTTACACAGTCATCTTGTAAAAACTCTTTCTGGATGGTATTTCTTTAAAAAGGGCCATAAACTTAGCTTACACATACAAGATGAGACAATTTAATGAGAAGATGCCCAACACCTTCATGCAAATCCATGACACACCAGCATGTAGGTAAGGTTGTTCTGGAAAACAGTGTTGAGTATTTTCTCCCTGGTTTTCAACACAATGGCATGGGTGACTCAAAACAGATTTTTATCATCAATTCTCAAGCCCTCCCCTATGGTGAAAGCTCTGAGTTGTTAGATTTATGCTTGCACATAGAATTAATTATTTCTGTGCAAGAAGTCTGGCCAATTGGATTTTGTCCAGTTGGAGCCTTGCTTGGATGTGCTTATGTGAGCAAAGCACCACCCCAGTAACAACACTCAGTCTGCACTTTTAAGAGTTGAGAAAACCTGGGGGAGGCTCTTTGCAATAGTAACTGGTGCACCAGCAGTGTGCCTAGAGCCAAAGAATCTAATATCTCCATTTTATTCTTCATTCTACCCAAAACAATGCTCCAAGAGGACTTCATTGCTATAAATCAGAAAATACTCGAGACATGACGAGAATTGAGGGTCAGTGGCAAATAATGTGAACAAGTCAACAGTATCAAAGCAAGAAAAACAGGTATTGCAAATGAAGGTCACATGAAGCCCTGCAAATAAGGTCTGATTGAACACCTACTCCAAAGTAAATCTACTTTCAGAGATCCTTTCAACAACATGCAATTTTATACAGCCTTTAAACATTACACAGAAAAGGATTTGAATACCTGGTGAGCAGCCATTTACAAGAAGTAAAAAACTTGGTTCAAATGTTGTGAAATACATGCAACAGCTTTTTTGGCTAACAGGAGATAGAAACAATTCTCTAGATTTTCATCTTATGCCAGTGTCTATGTCTTCTATTTGAGTCCAGTGAGATTTTTTTTTTCATTTAAAGCTGGTATTTGAAATATCAAAAGATAAATAAAGCAGTTTTTGTAGGTTGAAAGGAAAAGGCAATTTCAAGGGGCAAGCATGAGAGTGGAACAATCTGTCAAGGTCCTGGGGCAGGCAGCTGATGTTTGAAGAACTAGTTCTAAGTTATGAGCTATGTTTAAGCACAATCTGATTTTAGCATCACCTTTATTTTAAGCTAATAGCCTCAGCGATGTTTTACACTGAAGTGAGTCAGTAAAACAGAACCGAAAGAGGAAGAGGGCTCTTGTTTTGCTGCATGTCATGTAATAGTCACCCTTTTACAGACAAATATATCCTATCCCCCCTTTGCATGTCATGTAATATTCACCCTTTTACAGACAAATATAGCCCATTCCCCCTTGCATGTCCTGTAATATTCACCCTTTTACAGACAAATATATCCCACCCCCCCTACCCTTCCCCTCAGAGGATAATCAGTATGATTGCCTCTTACCCACTTGCCATGCCAGGAGGAAGTTTTTCTCTTGGGAAATACTCTGATCAGGGAGAAGGCAGCCAGAAACTCAGCAATCCTCCTGTAGTCCAAAGCACAGAGCTGTGCTCCTCTGACACTCCTCTTGCCCACTGAGGACTGTCACTCAACCTGGCAGGAAGGCACGGGAGAGGCAGGAGGTGCCAATTCCCACAAGAGTCTGAGGACAACACCACAACTCACCCCGCTCTCAGTGCAGGAACACTCACACCATGAAGTCAGAGGCACCTGTAGCAGGCTCCTGCCTCACCTTATCTTGCATCATGGATTATTTGCCAAATGGATTTTACGTCTCTGGATGAAATTTTGAGCCTAGAAAGAAGCACAGCAAGTCTGAAGCTTTGAAGTGGACGGGACATTCTAATCTTCTTATTCTGTATCCAGTTATTAGAAGGGAAGATGATAATTAATCTGAGATCATAAAAAAATCAAAGGCGGTGAAGAAAGAAACCCCAACAAACGCTTCTCTATTTACAGCTGAAACTGCTAAGTATGATCTTATGAATATTAGGAAGTGTCAGCAGGAAATGTGTTAAAAACGCAGAACTTTGCATGTGCCACTGGAAACAAGTGTTGGCAGGTGCTGGTAGGTGCAGGTACCCACTCTAGTGAGAAGCTTGCATTCATTATGTGACTAAATCAACCTTCAGATGGTTTAAAGCTTATTGTTATTCAGTTGGTACTTGTAGCATTTTCTTCATCATAATTAATTTCTGAAAAGCATAGCTTTATGTGGTGATTGAAGGTCACAGACCATGCTATGCAAATGAAGACAGTTTATTACACTAACCACCAGTGCTTTTACTTCTCTAAAGTCTGTACAAAATTTTCCACTTGGAAAGTCCCTGTTGCATTCTCTTGCACCAGCACTGTCCTTGTTACATCTTCTCTCATCAGTTAGAGTGACCAGACATGATGTCTTCACTTTTGTTCTTGCCTTGAGTTTCTCTCTCCCACGGCTTCCACTGTACCAGGGCCAGCAGGTCTGCAGCAGTACCCAGCTTCTGTAGTGTCTGATCTTCCAGCTTTAGGTCTAAGCTAGATATATGTATAGAGAGAAGCCAGAATGGCTTGATGCTAGCTACCAGTCATCCAAGTGGTTCTGCACCTCTGGTCCATGTACCCCTTCAAAGAATCAATTTAGGACCAAATAAAGTCCCTGGTGATGAAGACACCTGACACACAGAATTGTGTAGGGAACAAGACATGCACTCCACTTAAAACACTGAAAAGTGAAGCTTCCTTCTGGCACTGGTAGGGGAAATTAAAGTATCTCAAAATTGAATATCCTTAATTTTAACAGAAATTTTCTTTACCATTTTTGGTTAGTATTTATTGCAGTTCTGGATAAATAAAGTAAATGACAAACAAACAATGTGCTGGATTTGTCAACTGCCCCAGTTTATCAATGAAATGCAGGAACTCTTCTTCTGTGCTTTCATTTAAAATGCAAAAGCCAGTGGGCATATTCTCTCTGTAAGAAAGTTGAAACTTCTTTACTCACTTTAGCAGAAAGGGCCCAGATGGGAGCCCAGGGAATTTTCACTTACTAGCAGCATCATCACTGGAGTCAATGGTTTTAAGTTATTCTTCCATAAAATTACAGCTCAGTAGCATCACCAGCAGTTTCACAACCAAGTGTGTACTTGTATGTCTTTTAAAATTTCTATCTTTTGATTTGGACACTTGTAAGAGTCGGTCTGGAATTTTTCCCTCAAATGCCTCACGACTGTCATGAGGATAGAGGCTAAGACCCCGAGGACCCCCCACCCAGTTCTGGCCTGGTTGCCTTTGGACAGGATTTTCTGGTCTGTCAAGGTGGATGCTTGCCAAGGGACTGTTTGCAGGTGCTCACTGTGCTTCATGGTACACTGCTCTTGAGCAGGCACTGGCTGGAGCAGCAGGTTCTGTACACCTGTTTCTCGGAGCAACCCTCACAATGGCCCATAAATCTCCCTATCTCTTGGCTGGATGCCACTTGCTTTGGAAAAGGACTATAAAAAAGCGACCCTCTGAAGATAATTTTTGAGATCTCCCCACAGAAGACACATCTATTGGCTGGGACCATGAGGACACCAGAGTCTATTGGCCAGACCACAAGGACAACTTTCTCATCTGTTGGTAGCTATTCCCCACTCCCCCCCTTTTTCTCTCTCTTACTTTGTTTCCTTTAACTCTCCCTCTATTGCAAAATTGAGTTGTTGGCACTCAATAAAAGTGCATTTTGCTGTGAGCAAACTGATTTGTCCTCTGTTGTTGTCTTTTGCACTCCTGAGATCAAAACGAACCATCACGACTCCCATCTGTATTAACAGCAGATCACTGATGAAAATGCAGAGATCCTGAGGAGAGTGAAAGGATGCGTTTGCCAACAGAAATGAAGCACTGATCAAAGGCAAATTAGATCAGCACAGAATCTGGGTCATTCCCAGGTCTAATGCAGAAAAACAGAGTGTGCAGAGAGCAGCCTTGGTATCTACATGTGTTGGCTTCCTCTGCAGCAGAGCTCAGCTAGCTTTGTCAAACCCACTGCACAGGGCAGTGGATGTGTTTTTTGTGCAAGAGTTGAGACCAGGCTGCCTCTGGGCTCTGTTCCTCTTTTTCTACCGCAAGGGAATGGGGGGAGTGTTTGGTGATGTCTTGCTCACATGTTACCAGCATTTCCAAAGGATTGGGGCAAAGAACTTGTGGAAGATGTTCTGCCTGACAAAACTACCACCTCAAGCATCAGATACTGACTTTTGCCAACGTAAAAGATCAAGGAGTTCCTGGCAATAAAACATGTTTCTAAAGCATGTAGGCATCTCTGCGCATTTCTGGCCTAGTTATTTTGCTTTTCCACTCAAGGTGGCTAATGGATAAGTGTTGGTTTAGTCTGGTGCCTACACTTCCCTGAAGGGAGAAAGGGCTAATTCAGAGTTCTTTAAACCTCTTTGGTCAATCTAGAGAGGTGTGAGTGAGAACACAGTTTTACAGGTTTCCAGACCAAAGAGGCCGGGGCTCACACCTGCACAAAGGGCACGTTCAGGCTGGACAGGCTCACTCAGGGAGACTGAGTAAAGGCTGTCAGCTGGAACAAACACCCTGCAGATCCATAGCACGCTCAGTCCTTTCCCAGGAAAAGACAGAGCAGGTCTTTGGGTCACTTTTTGCATGTAGGGAAGAGGAAAGTTTATCAGACACTGAGGATGCTGGACATTCCCATGGGAGCTTTGGCTATTGCTGCCAAGTCCCCACAAGCTGTCACACGCTGAAAAGCAGTGGAGGCACAGCCTGGGCTGGTCAGAGTCAGAGCTCAGGGAAAGCAGAGCATGGAGACACCGAGGTCTCCACCCTTCCTTAAAAATTAATTTTCAAGTTGGAACCTCTCCTGCCACATTGTTTCCCACCAAACTCCAGGATCCCTGTGCCTGTCTCAGTTATCTCCCTTTTCCTAAGCCTCAGCCTCTCAGTCTTGGAGTCCTTTTCTGTAGCCAGTGGTGTTACAATCTCTCCAATTACTGCGGAGTTTCTGGTGCAGCAGCTGTCGTCCTGAAAGAGAAAATAATGAAGATTACAGAGCCAGGCATGTTCTTGTCATAGAAACTCCAGGAAAAAATAACTCCAGCTGCTCCCTGAAGCTTAGCATGTGTACCTGGACAGTGGCACAACCTTCTTGCCATTAGGTTGGTCTGTTAATATTCTTTCACTTACCAGTGCTAATTCCCAGGTTTAATAAGTAAATAATGACTGACTTATGATATGTTCTCACAGCCAGATGAGCACACTCTGGAAACCATGAGGCTGAAAGAAAACATTGCCTGGGGACACTGGGGGCTCAGTAACTCTGTGTGAGCCTAGGAGATAAGGGAGGACTTTTTTAAATATTTGATTTTTAAGACTGACAAGCATACACCTTTCTTGATTTTGTATGGAGAAACCGTCTAGAAATCATCGAAGACATATTGTGAAGACATAATATGTGAAGACATATTAATGAAAAATATTTGAATGTTTCATGTTTAGCACAGACACAAAGATATGTGGTTACTAGTCACTAATTTTCACACATTGGTGTAAACCAAAATTTAAGGGAGCCTGGCTGAAACATCTTATCTTACTGGACAGCTCAATTCTGGTGCTTTTTGGATAAACATTGTCACTAAGGAATCTTGAAAGCTGAGAAAAGTGGGATTGTTCAGCCTGGAGAAGACTTCGGGGTGACCTCATTGTGGCTTGAAGGGAGCCCGCAGGAAAGATGGGGAGAGACTCTTGACAAAAGCCTGGAGTGACAGGACAAGGGGATAAGCTTCCTCTTCACTAAGAGAGGAGGTTTAGATGGGATATGAGGAAGAAATTGTTCCCTGCGAGGGTGCTGAGGCCCTGGCACAGGTTTCCCAGAG